TCCTGCGCCAGAGTGCCTCTGTCCCCCGTGCTGAGAAGATTGCCTATGTCGACAAGATTATTGATCTCCTTGAACTCAATGACCTTGAGGATGCCATCATCATGTCTCTTGGTGTTGAGCAGCGAAAGCGATTGACTATTGGTGTTGAGCTTGCAGCCAAGCCATCCCTTCTTCTGTTTCTCGACGAGCCTACCTCTGGTCTTGACTCCCAATCTGCCTATTCCATCGTCCGCTTCCTCAAGAAGCTCAGCCGCGCTGGCCAGGCCATCATCTGCACCATCCACCAGCCCAGCTCCGTCCTCATCCAGCAGTTCGACATGGTCCTCGCCCTGAACCCTGGTGGCAACACCTTCTACTTTGGTCCCATGGGAGAGAACGGCCAGGACATCATCAACTACTTTGCTGAGCGCGGAGCTGTCTGCCCCCCCAACAAGAACATTGCCGAGTTCATCCTCGAGACTGCTGCCCGACCTCACAAGCGACCTGATGGCACCAAGGTTGACTGGAACCAGGAATGGGCCCAGAGTGTTGAAGCTGAACGGGTTCTTGAAGAGATTGATGGTCTCAAGCGGGTTAGAAGCTCTGCTACTGAAGGAAGACAGTCCAGCGATGGAGAGCATGCCGAGTTTGCTGCTTCGACTTGGCTTCAGTCAGTTGAGTTGACCAAGCGCATGTTCAAGCAACACTGGCGTGACCCCTCTTACATCTATGGCAAGTTCTTTGTCGCTGTCATTGTTGGTATCTTTAACGGTTTCACCTTCTGGAAGCTTGGCTACACGATGCAGGACATGCAGAACCGCATGTTCACCTGCTTCCTGATCGTTACCGTGCCTCCCACCATCGTCAACGGCGTTGTGCCCAAGTTCTTCACCAACATGGCTCTGTGGCAGGCTCGAGAGTATCCCTCTCGAATCTACGGATGGGTCGCTTTTTGCACTGCCAACATTGTTGCCGATATCCCTGCTGCCGTGATTTCGGCTGTGCTGTACTGGGTGCTTTGGTACTGGCCGACTGGACTTCCCACTGAGAGCTCCGTCTCTGGATACACCTTCTTGATGACGCTTCTCATGTTCTTTTTCATGACCAGCTGGGGTCAATGGATCTGTGCATTCGCCCCTAGCTTCACTGTCATCTCCAACGTCTTGCCCTTCTTTTTCGTCATGTTCAGTTTGTTCAACGGAGTCGTCCGTCCCTACTCGATGCTTCCCGTGTTCTGGAGGTACTGGATGTACTACGTGAACCCCTCGACTTACTGGATCGGCGGCATGCTTGCGGCTACTCTTGATGGTGCTCCCGTTAGGTGTGCCCCTGAGGAGACGGCCAAGTTTGATGCTCCCCCGAACCAGACATGTCAGGATTACGCAGGGGACTTTGCCAAGTCTGCTGGAGGTTATCTCCTGAACCCCGATGCTACTAGCGGTTGCCAGTACTGTCCCTACAGCTCTGGTAACCAGTATCTCGAGTCGCTCAACATTGATGCGAGCGACAAGTGGAGAGGTATGTCACTTGACCTAATCTAATTCAATACATATACTAACTTGATAACTAGACTTTGGCATCTTCCTTGCCTTCTGCATCTCCAACTGGATGTTGGTGTACTTTTTCATCTACACCGTCCGCGTCCGCGGCTGGGGCTTTGGCCTCGGCTATGTGTTTGGTGGACTGGGCAAGTTGGTGGATCTGATCAAGAAGCCATTCCAGAAGAAGAAGGAGTAGAGTGTGAAAGAATGATAATAGCGAATAAGGATTGGGATAAAAGTTAATAGAGATTAGAATGGGTATAGATGGAGTTGATATTAGACTGGGCATCATAAATGGATAATAAGATTGGCCATGACAAGGCAATACTTGACATACACAATAGGTTTTCAAACTTGATAATGCTATGTGCGTGCTGGATATATGTTGAGTCGATTGAACAACCACATTGTCTAGTTGTTGTTGATAAAACCAGCGGATGCCACTGCTACGGTAAAAACACCTCTGACTCGTCTAAGGAAATGACTCTTTTTCATGATTAAAACTATCATAAGAGATAATGCTCTCAAGCTTTCTTCTAATCATCTTGCAGACTTTTTTCTGTCTTAATTGCTATCCTCAGATCAGGATGTGCTCATTTCGTTACCTTCATCGGCATCTTTTGACCCGCACGGGGGCCGACACACCGGGCCGGCTGTGTTCGGCCCCGTATTGCCCCACACCACACCGGCTTCCGGCTCCGGCTCCGGCTTGTCTGAACAACACTCGGCGTGACGGTCAAGTTATACGGCTTAATGGACCCGAGAATTCAGACAGACGCTCGGTTTTTTATGACTTGATATCAAATCAAGGAACCATAGAGCAAGTCAATGAGCCCCAATGGGCAGTGGCAGCTAAGGGCGCGAAGCCCTCACCAAATCCACCACAGTGGGTATACTCATATCAACCACGCACGAGAGTGGATTTCGAGGCTGGCAGAGCTCGTTTCTCTCCCTTCATTAGAGGCATTTCCAAAGCGAGAATCCACCCAAGAAAGCAGCTTGGCGCAGTGGAAGCGCGGTATGTACACACAGATTCACTCATTTCTTGATCATCTACTAACGTTCGAAACAGCCGGGCTCATAACCCGGAGGTGTAAGCAACTTCGAATCCTAGAGACATGTTATTCAGAGACTGACCTTTAGTGAAGCGCTGGATCGACACCAGCAGCTGCTACGATTCTTTTTTGTCGTTTTTTGTTACATCTTGAGGGTTCTCCTTTTCCTCTGTGGAACGAGTTGTGGTGGTTGTACTTCAAGGACCTTGGTAGACAACTGGCTGGATTTTGACTTACAGATTACTCGCTGGGACAGACATATCTCCTCGTGTGCATAGCCTTGCATAATATTGTAATGATGAATAGCTGCTCGTCATGCTACCAAATGGTCGCCAAGAGCTGTGTGTAGTAAGGGATGAGTACGGGAAGTGTTGAAGCTGGTCTACGACGAGCATTATGCGCATCTGAAGCACGCCCTTAAGCTGTTCTATAGCTGGGAATAGCTATGCCACCAAAGAAGTCTTTCGAGGGATATTTGGTGAAATTGGTGGGATTCAGGGATGGTGCATTTGGTAGTAGTGGGTGAAAATAAGCTTCGAGATGGAATAGTATTTAGCTTTAAGATGGAAATATTAACAAGACTATAAAAATGTAACCCTCTTGCTCCCAGATCTCGTAGTTCTCTTCATGCTCTGATCAGGCTTGTCCAACTGGCTCGATTGCAGGTAATCCATGTCCTGATAATGTAAAGTGTTACAGGCAAGGGTTGCGTTCGAGCTGGATGAGCCCTCGCTTGTTTCCCACAACGTCGTATTAAAGTCGACATCGGTGAAGAAACTCTTACTGGCAAGTTTCCACCTAGATATTTTACTCTACAATACCATCAACAATCGCATATCACGAGAAACCCCAGGACCCAAGACTCTAAAGATCAGCTAACCTCCCCAAATACGTTAGTTAGCCCCAGGGTCCCCGCACGTTAGCCCCTAAAAAGTGCGTGCGTCTCGTTTCAGTGAACTCCAACGGAAGGACCTCACCTAATCTGCTCAGCCCAGGCCAAGCTTGGTCCACGCCCAGCCCAGCCACTCGAATTTACGGTGAGCCCAGCCCACTTCCTAACCCGCTCCCGTCTCCTCCATCTCAGCTCTGACTTGCATCTGCAAAGTGTGGTTTGCATATAGCGCCCATCCTTCCTTCAACCTCAAAACCTTTTGCCTTCAGCTGGATCGCCGACGCAAGGGAAAATACTCGACTCCCTTGCGCGACTTCAATTGACGCATTTGGTTCCTTGTCTCACTTTTGCCCGCCTCCCCGCGCGCATACGTACTCGCGAGACAAGAAACCACACCGAGTCCCCTCGAGATATACCCTCGCCTCTTTGAAATCTCACCACTTTTCTCTACCGCGAAAGCAAACTCGGGCGCAATGGGCTTCCTCGATTGGAATGACGGCGCCTCCGTCCTCTCTACCCGCTCTTCTCACCGCCGCCATCGCTCCTCTCGCTCCCACAAGAAGCGCCGTTCCCGCTCGCGATCACGATCTAGCTCCCCCGACCGTGGCCGCTCCTTTGCGGGCTCCATCTTTGGCGGCGACCGCTATGGAAAGCACAATTCTTCTCGCGCCTCCTTCTTTGGACTCGGCGGTGGCAACAACAGCCGCTCCAGCTTCTTTGGAAACAGTAAGTCTCAGCCCCCTTCAGTAGACCACTTCGCCCCCCCAGACGTTGACCCTTGTGCTCCTTCCAGACCGTTCGTCCTACTACAAGCGCTCTCCTCGCCAGGGCTTCATCCAAAAGACTTACAAGCAGCTGAAGCGCCTCCTCCGCGACCTCGTCCACTGGGCCAAGCGCCACCCCTGGAAGGTCTTCTTCCTCGTCATCATGCCCCTCATCACCGGGGGCGCACTGACGGCCCTCCTCGCTCGCTTCGGCCTGCGCATCCCTCCGGCTATCGAGCGCATGCTGGGCGTCGCCTCCAAGGCTGCCACTGGGGACTCGTCTGGCCTTGTCGGCGAGGCTGTCCGCATGGCTAGTGGATTTGGTGGAAACACCTCTGTCCGTATGGAGCGCGATACCCGATCCTTCAGCGGCGGACGAGGCGACGACAGCTGGGGTGGTGGCCTGGCCGACATGGCCAAGAAGTGGATGTAGTGTGCGTGATTAGGGCTGGGCATGGATCAAGACAGGACATGTGAGATATTATGGGCGTTTATGGCTGGGCTTGTTTTGTTGCTTTCTTGATCCCTTTTAAAGAGCTGCATTGGAGTAGTATACATACATACACACATACTTGGATAAAATTCATGATTGATGACCGTCACTGAGACAACTTGACAACTCTTCGGGCAACATCGTGAAACGCATGATACCTATCTCAAGTCAAGCTAATTCGGCAAACTTCATACGGCTCATGAGGTACTCATACGGGACTCCTGATGGCTTCACGAGGCAAAACTTTATCACAAAATTGTACCAAGATCCATGATTGCAGCACTATATTCATTACTAGTTCTGTGCGTCACCAACCCTGCCTCGTCCTTCACCAAATACCTAGATCATCCCATTCTCCAACTGGCATAACCAGTCACTCGGAGATGCCATCCAAATCCTTCCTTCGTAGTCTCTTGTGTGTCCAGCGACCTTCAGTGTCAGCTGCCTGTCAAACCCGACTCAACCAGCGGCCCGTTGGCCCGGGAGCCAGGCATGCTTATGCCAGGTACCAATGCTAATCATGCAATCATTAACCGCCTGCGCCCCTTTCCGTCCTTTTAAACTAAAAGTCTTAAATGATGTGCCGATCCGATTCCTTGAGTATAAGTCTGTTTGTTGTTGGAATCCTCGTTCGATCGGACTTGACGCTTCGGCTCGCTTGTCCCCAGGCTTTGACTTGACTTGAGTCGAGCTAATTGACCAAGCCAGGGGCAAGTTTGTGAAGCGCGAATGTCAAACATATTGTACACATGCCCACATAAGAATTATGGACATAGTAATAAAGTGCCAGTAATGCCAGCCAAAATCCATTATCAAGCCAACCATTACTGCTTGGATGAACCCTCTTTGGCGGTGGGTTTCCAGAATTGCATCATCCGGCTAAGTCGCTTCGTTCGGCTGCTCTTTGATTTCTTGTGAGTCGACTCATTGTCAAGTGTCACTTCCATCGACAGTTTGCTGCGTTCGCCATGAGAGCTGCTAATGAGACGGCTCAGACTGGCGAGGCTGGATCGACGGCGGCCAAACGCGGCAGATGACACCGAGACAGGGCGTGGCTCACGAAGAATCGGCTGAGACATACGCTGGCTAGGGAGGAACATGCTCTCCCGCGTCATCGTTGAGTTGCTCGAGGTAAGTGATGGAATGTCGTAGTCCACAGAAATTCGCACCTCGGGGCCAGGCTCGCCCATGAGCAACAAGGATTGGAAATTGTTCTCATCTGCAACTGATGAAGGAGCGGTCGAGATGCGTTGCACTTCAACCGACATGGGTGACCTGGGGGACGGGAATGAGGACGAATGGCTCATGGCATATGGGCTGTTGGGAACGTTGGTCGGTGTAGGGAGGTGGGCGGGGCCAATATCGACAGGAGCAAGATCTTTGTTGCCCGAGGCCCTCCTGAGCGAAGCGGGAGCTGAGTCCGCGTTATCGTTGCGCTCAGGAAATGCGAAGGGTGACCGGAAGATGACACTTGGCAGCTCCTCCTCGACAATGACGCTGTCGTGAAGAGATGACTTGGAGCGCTCGGCACGGACTGAGCCAGCTGTGATCTGATCCTTGTCGCTCAAGCTAGAGCTCGTCCGCCTCATGCTCTGTGCTGAGCTGTGAGTTGAGAGCTTATCTTGAACATCGAGCAATGGGTCCTTAGTGACGCCAGCTGGGGGAGTTGCATCACTGTCTGACTCGAACTCCTCTTCAGAGGAATCATCTGGTGTCTTGGACTCGTCTTCTTCGTCTTCTTCAAAGACATCGGCCATCGTCGAGCTGCTGTTGTAGCGGTGCATACCAGCCCTACCAGGGTCAAAAGGAGGCAGATCGGGAGCAGACTCCGCACGTCGATGGTAGTGCATGCCTGGACCAGTGAATCCCTTCATACCCTGAGCACTATGGAGTCTTCGCTTGTTGGTGGTGTTGCCAGCGGCTCGCTGCGCTGCCTCCCATTCTGGGTTCAACGGCAGTGGTGTATTGAAGGGTCCAAGAGCTGCGTCAAGATCAATCATGGGATATGTTGTTTCGTCTGAGGGCCTGGGCAGGTCATTTTCCGCTGGAAGGTTGGGAGACTCTGTGACAGTGAAGGATGGAATAGATGGCTCAAGCAATTCGGGCTCTTCATACATCTCACCATCGTCATCGTCTCGTGAAACACTCGAGGCTGGCGGTGTGGGAGGACGAACTTCATCCGACTTGGAACGCTTGGTGTGGCTCTTGGGCTTTCGTGGTAGAATTGCACCAGCCCAGCCCTTGACCTTCTTCTTCTTTTTCTTCCCCTTCTTGCTCTTTTTCTGTTTGGCGGGAGCCGTGTCAAGACTTTCACCAGCAGCATCGGAGCCGTGTTCGGATCCAGGAGCTGGCTTTGGCAAAGAATCAGATGAGCTGGAACTGTGTGGTCGTGTCTTGGTGGGGGAAGAGCCTGTGGTTGAGGCGAAAAACGACCACCGCTTGGCAACCTTGGTTGGACTAGGTTCAGGTTCTCCCGCCTTGGACGCTTCGGCAAGGTGAAGCAGTGTTGGGATCGAGTTCCGGCGCTTTGGTGAAGACGTGGTATTAGATGTATCCTGGGTGCGTTCGAGAATAGCGCCCGCGGTGCTCGGTCTCGAATCTGTAAGCTCGCGTGTTGATGTTCGAGAAAGTGGCACCGGGCTATCTCTACCACTGGGGGATGCAGCAGAGACGATTGAAGAAATACTCCCGGAAACTGAATGTCCAGGTCGTGCTGTTACCGTGCTGGACGTTTCATTAGAGACTAGGGATAGCGGCCGTGGGATAAACTCTAGCGTATCCGAGAAACCGACTCGCGCTTTCGGCACTGCCTTGCTCTGCTTTGGACTTCCTTTGGGGGAACTGTGTGCCGAGGCAGGTTGTTTGGTGTCATCCGCTTGCTCCGTTGGGACAGCCTGGGGTTCGAGCTGCATGGGTTCATCGAGCTGAGCGGAAACACTGTTCTCGGGCTGGATGTAACCAGTTGGGCTAGTTGGTGCACTGCTTCCTCGACCAGAGGCATCGAACACGGGTGCTTGCAGAATGGGCAAATCATTAGTCGAGATAGCACCCGAGATACCTCTTCGGTGTCCTCTTCTCGGGGGTTGGAAAGTAGGTGTCATAAACCCACTCTCTGATTTGGTTGGACTTGTGCTCATGACAGCAATGGAGTTGCCCTCACGAAGACGGCCACCAACAAACTCACTGCCGCCTCTTCGATGTCCATGACCACCGGGCCGTTGTGGTGATGCGATATTCCGAGGAGACACGGGAGGAGTCAAAAGGCAGGGTGTCTGGGGATCTGGAGGGAGAAGAGCACCAGGGTTGAAGCTGAAGTCTGGCAACGCAGATCGATTCTGCCTCTCCGCGTTTTCAGCGGAGAACCCAAAGCTAAAGTTAGGTGTCTCGATAGCAGACATGGGCCGGCGACCTGTGGCTCGCGAGAAGGAGGATGGTGCCGAGGCGGGAGGTTGAGCCGGGAAGACGAATGGAGGATTAGGTGGAGGGTCAGCACGAGACTCGGGGTCAAGTGACGGGGACGCAGCCAGAGGATCCATCGGGAAAACGAATCGATCCGCGGGGTTGTCGAAAGCTGGGCCAGCGGATGGCCGGGTTAACTGTTCGGGGCCGAAGGTGGTTGCCATCTTCTCCTCAGCCGCGCAGCGGCAATCGAAGTGATGGGCAACTGGGTGTGAATTAAGGGTTCATAGGACAAGCAAGCCGACCGTTCCGGAACCGTGAGGCTCGCTTGCTTTCTCGTTCGAATAGTCGTGACCGGGCGTGGTGATGGATTAACTCGTCGAACCGTCGCGGTCTGAGACGTCACAACAATCAGTTGACCAGTCTTGGGAATTGCAAGTCGACGGCACGAGAAACGCTAAATGACATCGACTTGGGGACAATGCTATGATCGAGGCTGGAAACGAGCGAATAGGCTAGGGTGACGGACCAGGCGGAAATGGCAAAAAAGGCTGCTTTGGTGTCGTCGAGCTGGATGGCTGAAATCGAAAAGACGAAGGCAACTCGACAGACAGGTTGTTTAAACTAATGAAAAGGAGTGGACGGACAAGACCAGCGCAACTCTGAAGACAAGAGAGCGACTGGAATCGCACCAGAAGATGTCGGGAGGAGGAAGGGGGAGGAGGTTCGGCGCTCGCAAAGGCGGCGTTGTCGATGAGGTGCAGCCGGAGGAAGGGTTGAAGAAGAGAAGACGGGGAGGGGGCAAGGCGGTTTCGAGATGGAGAGATGGAGGGAAAAGGCAAATGGAAGGCCTGCTGGGGTTGGAGGGTGTTCAGCCACACAGCGCCCACTGCGAGCAAGGGGTCCACTCGTGATTTAGGTACACGGGAGCATGTACCGCTGCAACCAACACGAGAGCGGACGAAGCGCCGGAAATGGCCAAGGGGGACCTGGTCCTCTGGTACCGCTGCCCATCCAAGTCCATTCCCCCCAAAAGGACCCCCATGGACCCCCCCGGCTCGCTATAGTCCAGGTACCTGGCCAGGTACCCTCTTAGCGGCTTGCCCGCCCTGGACACCACAGGCACCAAGGGGCGCCACCTCGGGGAACTCCAGCATCCGCCCAGGCCGTAAATGCGATGGACGATGGATGGATGCCATGGATGCCATGCCATAGCTGCTTGATGGAGGATGGGCGAATTGATGGGAGTGACAAGGGGCACCCGATGGAGGAGACAAGGGAGCCCAAAGAGGCACAACAAGAGGCTCCAGGGAGGAGAGAATCACACAAGGCCGCGTCTTCCAGGGCCAAAACCTCGACATTCTCACCCCCTTCGCTCCTTCCCATCTTCCACGTTCAGGGGCCTCCACCTTTTTCCTTGGTCTCTCCTTCTTGACTCTACTCCACTTGACGGTCTGTCCATCCCATCCATTCAAGGCCCGCACTGTGCAACTCTTCTCAGCAAATTGCCAGCAGGTGTTCGTTCATGTTATTGCATCGTGCTCCAATAACAAGATGCCATCTCATCCCATCCGTCCAAACCCTTCGATTGATTGATTAAATTCATGGCAAACCTGCTGGGTACCTGGATCTAAAAGCATATCAAGCAATTAACTGACCCGACAAACAGCGCACACGACGCCAAGCAGGTCCCTCTGGATGCTCCTCGCTCTATCTTACTGAAACAGGGCAGCACCACGGCCATGGATTGATTGATCTTCATCGCAAGGCCAGGTCACACAGTTTGATATTCACTCACCCCCGTTCATGACGGCCGCCATCTCATGGCAGCCAGTACAGATATACCCCCATAGGTACCGCCGTAACCGTCAAGATTGCCCTTATTACACACGCATGGCCATCGGCACATGACACTGGAATCCCACGCTGCACTGTGACGGCTTCCAAGGCCACCAACCCTGGTCATCCCTGGTCGTCTACTCGTCTCGGCGCGACGAACGCTCTTGAGGTGCTGCTTTGTTGGGCACTTGAGGGCGCTGCGATTCGCCCGCTGTTTCCTTCGGGGCCACTCGACCCCCCGGCCCATGTCACGCTCAGCGCGCCGTGTACCTGCACCTGAGGAGCGCTTGTGCATGCATGCAGCAGCGCAACGCAAAGCACGGCAGACGGACGAACGTGCAAGCGAGCAGTCACTGCTGATTTATATCTAATAATACCTGCATCGTGCAAGCGCTGCGTCTGGCCGCTGGGGCAACGCGTTGTTTGCTGCCTTTCTGAGGGCATTCGGATCAGGTTCGTCCCAACTGAATGACACTTGACAAGCTCGTGACATCGCTCAGCCGGTCCTGTTACCGGGATAAGATGGCCTGCCTTGTACGGGCAAGAGAGCGGGGGAGGCGAAGAGCAGAGTGGAGGCCTGGAGAGCAACGGTTGCAGCCGGCGGCACGATGTCTTGCTTGACGGCCGCTACGACTCAACGGCCTCAGGCGGTCAACAACAAATTCATGAGGTTCAGTTCAGTTCAGTTAATGCCTTTACCGGCTCTTGTCTGAGTTGACCAAACCATTCCTCGCGTCGTCGATCCCACCAAACTCTCTTGCACAAGCGCACACCCGTCTCCGTACCTTGATCCCGAAAGTCGGAAACCAATCAGACCAAGATAGAGACCTTTGACTACTGTAGCTGCCGCCACCAACCGACGGGTTGTTCATCGTGATGAAGGGACGGGAAGGAAAAGGCCTCACCACGAACGGTATCAGACTGTCATCGACACCACCAACTACTCGATAGTTTCCGCGAATTATCGTGTACTAGTCATCGTGACTGCCACATCAACTGGCCAACAAAGCTCTTGGATCGGTTCAGATCGAGGGAGTCGTGTCCTCACCTCCCTCAGCAATTCAGCTCCTCCGCGAGACATGGCTTGCATGATGACTCGGGGCTAGAACCACACGAAGACGGAGATGCGCCACAGGAGTCAGAAGACAACACGCATTTGTGCATAGTGCCGTTTTTGCTTTTGCGGGTTTTCTCCGTCTTCTTTTCCCGTTGCTTTTCCTCTTGGCCCCGATCCACCCAGATCTTGTCCAGGATGGGCTGGCCTCGTCTTGGGTGTCCCACCTGGCCTGTCAACTCGAGATTACGAGGCCGAGAACACGACCCAGCACCGCCCGTTAGCAAAAAGTGATCACCAAAACAGAGCCAAGCGATCCGACCAAGCCCTCCCGTATTACGTACCCATCCAGGCTAGCTCGAGCAGCTGCCATGACCGGCCTTTTTCTTGCTGCGATAACAACATGGTGATTTTACCTATCGACGAATGAGCCTGCTTCGCTGCCATGCTTACGGAGGTTACATGCTGATGGCGCATCGTGGGAGTTATTCTTGACCATGTGCCGTTTGGCTCTACAATGGTTCCTCTCGATCAAGATCCCTGGCCCGTTACGCTCCGTTCTAACGACCCGTTGCTCTCACTGTGCCAGGAACAGACAGCCTCCATTTCCCTGTTTGGACCACCCCGGTACCTGGACCTCCATTCAGGCCTTGGAAGATGCTGATGCTGCAGATGACGGATGCAATTGAGGCTTGGTTTTCCTTAATCTGGGCATGCAGGGCAACATTTGAGAAAACAGATTGCCCTGTTCGGCGAGGGCGGGTAGCTCACCAAGGCAACGACCATCGACGTCCCAATCATGTCCTGTTGTCTGTTGTACAGATTGCTTTTGACAGGCAGGACAGATCCATTGTTGGGCGCTTGACATGTCGCTCAGATGACGATGAGATACAGTGCCTCACCCGCGACGCCAGAATTACATGGCACCCGCGGGTCTCACCCAGCCCTTCTTCTCGTTTATCATGGTTAGCGCCACGACTTCTCACAAAACGAATGCGACTGATACGTATTGATCGTCCTTCCTCGGATGTGCCCTGGTCTGTCCCAGTGACCCGAGAAAGAAGAGGGCCAGATGAACAGATCTAACGCCCGACGACACCCACAAAATGGTGCACAGACGGACTGGGAGTCCCTTGGCGCATCGGTTACTTGACCTAATCCAGTTGATGAAGCTTCGTGTACAGTCTCTCCAGAAGCCTTTGACTGACATTTCCAACAACCGAGGCAGAAGACAAACAGAGGCCGAACTGTCCGTTCAAGAGCCGCCTGGTTTGGTTGTCGTGACAATAACCCGCTGGAAACCATCCTCTGCCCTGAGCGCAACGCAAGATGTGCCTGAACTCTCCGAGCTGCATGCATTTCGTACCTGCAACACCAGGATGGGTGAGACCCAGCCCTTGTCTGTCCTCTTCTTCATCCCTCATGTCTCATCCCTCGCAGTCAGGCTCTGGGGCGTTTGCCAAGGACCATAGTGGTCCGCTCCACCGACCAAGCCTCTTCAGGGATCCATTTTCTCCCTCATTCAAGTTCCCGGTTCGTTGTCTCGCCCAGCTCCACCGCTGAGCGAGCGGCCAATTTCAGCCAGAGGTCGTGGAAGAGGCTTACGAAATCTCACCTTTTTTCAGCCTGCGATCGCTCAGCTGGTCCGCGAATAACCTCCCACCAGCGCCTCGACATTTCAGCAATGGGTTCTCCCTCCTTGCATGCACAAACATGCCTTGGTAATCTCGCCAAGTTGTGGCAGGTGAGTACTCGTACGGCTGACGACTGCTCTTGGACGCGATTTCCCTATTCTTAGTATAGGTAATAAGCCAATTTGCCCAGCTAATTACGATTTCCCTCCATTCCGCTGCAAGATCCATCTTCCTGCATTCCCGTGAAGGAGGCCTCGGTCCTTTAGACTTTGCGCCCAGAAATCCCGTCCTCCGTGGTCATCGGCGAGTTGGCCTTATCGTCATTATTGTGGGCAGTTCACTTGACCGTGATCCGGCCAAGCTTGTTGTCCATCCCCTGTCCAGAGGACGAACCTTTCAGGGGCCCTCCTCGCTCGATACGATGTCGTGCCGAACGAGTTGTCTGGTCAATTGGCTGCCCATTGATCTGACGTATGCAGTGCCATCCTTCCATCTGCAACCAGACTATTAGGATGCGCAAGTTCTCAGGCAGGGATGGGGGCTCCTTTTAAACTCCTGGCTTGGCCTCATGTGGCTCACTTCATGAGAGCATGATTCGGACATCACTCGTATACCCCTTTTCCATTGAAAAACAACACATGCACTGTGAATGTACGGTTGTGCTATTTCTGTACCAAATAATGTCCTAGTCAGCGTTTCAGTCCTCGGGTCCTATCCCACCAAATGTAGATGTCTGCAAGCCCAGAAGTCTTGGAGGCCCCGTGAGGCTTACAGTTCGCAGCTGAAGCTGTGAGAGTCGGGGCCAATAGCGTGTAGTTCTCCAAGGATGTCACCTCTCCCTGAGCTGGCAACCATTACCCAGTGGCAGGGACGGGAGCGTATGTTATTGGAAGAGAGGTCAGCTACAGAAATGCGGACCGAGTTGCCGCACCGTACTCCGTGCCGTAGGGCGATACGGGCACCACAAACTATTGAATGGGGCTGAAGATGATGAGATTTTTTTGGGCTCTCTGTCCTCGGGAATTAGCTCTGCCTGGAAGGGGACGATGGCCTCCAGATCGTGAAACATAGGCGTGACGCGACTCAATAAAGATCGCCCCTTATCCACCCCTTAACTCAAAGTGTGGGGAGTTCGAGGACCCTGGATTTCAAGCCACACCTGATGTGGGGAAGCGGAGTCCCAGCCACATGCTTTCTCACCGCCTTCAGCTGGGCCCCGCCACAACTTTTTTTGACCGGCAGAAAATTTGGCGAAGTTGGCGACGGTTGTAGATCTCTAGAACGACATCTCTGTAATACTTTTGTCAACCGCCAAAATGTCCGATACAGCCAGCCCAGTGCCAGAGCCGGCGCCTCAGACTGAGAAGCCTCAGGGAATGCGCAAGAATGGTATGGGTATTTCCCAGCCTGTCTCGTCATCACCAAGCTGACATTCCGATCGCAGGCAAGCAATGGCATGCTCCAAAGAAGGCCTTCCGACCCACAGCCGGCCTCAAGTCTTATGAGAAACGGTCGCAAGAGCGCGCTCTGTTGGCGCAGATAAAGGCGAAGGAAAAGGAGATGAAGGATGAGAAGGAGCAGTTGCGACAGGTAAGCAAGAAGCGCCTCTTTGCGAAGCTGTGACAATCATCTAATGCCGGACATTAGGAAAGGATCCAAGCTATCAAGGCCAAGCGAGAAAAGAAGGAGGAGAAGGAGCGATACGAGAAGATGGCCGAGAAGATGCACCGAAAACGAGTCGAGCGGCTGAAGCGCAAGGAGAAGAGAAACAAGCTGATCAACTCGTAATCGGGCGGCTCACGGTGGCATGGACGGGCAAAATCTCTTTGACAAACGTTATGATTCACGATGCGACATACCTCACTTGGAGCGGTTTTAGAGAATCGGATGCGGCGCAATATACGGATGGTTGAAGACGTGTTCATTGTTGAGTGGAAGATCAGCCTTGGGTGTTACGCAATATCGGGGACTCGGGACTGAGGCTGTGTATGTCGCTGATAGTTCCACTTAAACGGCATATAATCGATGTTTCAATGCGATTGAAGCACGTCTGGGTGTGAGGTGTTAAACGTCAACCTGGCTTGGGAACAGCTCACAATCGTCGGCAGGGCTTGGGCTGTCCCCTGCGTACATGCATAGGAGTTGCGTAATGAAGAATGACAGATGGCAGGAGGTTGCCAGTTCCTGGAACTCTCCTCAGCCATCAAATAATGTTTGTCTCGTAATATTCTCCTATATCTTTAATACCATACTTGAGAGTGGGACTGTGGAGGAAACAGATATCAGGCTGGGGCAACAAAGCGATACCGATCTTGTTAAGCTCATTACCCAGCCAAGCATCGGCAAATTAGTTTATCTTCAAGAAGTATCATAGATATGATACTATAACCCTTGATTTAGCCTCTGTGAATTAGCCGGTGTCCCTGGGCTATCTTGGTCAATAAAAAGGCCTGTCGTCTGCCCTCCGGTGACATGTGAAACTCACTGCCTGCGGATGGGAGCATGGGCCCACTCAGCCACAGACAGGGCACGTCACGTCCTTAAGTTACTCTACTGTACCCAGTCCACTCGGCGCTGGCCTGATGCATCCCGCAACAAACCTGGAAAGCTGCTGACCATCGGAGCTTGAGCCAGTCAGCGGGAATCTCTGCTGCCCTCTTTGGGCATCCCACCCCTTGCGTCGCAGGGTCCACGCGGATAGAGTTTTCGACAAGAAGGGACAGACGCAGACAGGGAGTGCGAAACCGGGAAACCGCTCACGCCATGGCCACCGCCGGTGCCTTCACGGGTCCCCGGGACTCGACAAACTCAGTCTCGAGCATCCGCTCAGGCAGCCGTCACCAGCTCAAACGATCCATCACCGAGCTCACTTCGCCCGTCAAGCTGAGCCGGCGCAAGGAGAAGGAACGCGAGCGCGACCGAGACCGCTATCATGACGACCGCACCCCGCCTTCGCACTACATATCCATATCCCATCCCGTGTCGGTGAGCCCGTATTATCAAGGTCGGGCATCGGTTGAGATCATGCCTCGGTCGGAGGGTGTCACGCCTATGATAAGCCCCGACCAGAGTCGACGGCCAAGCGTCATGCTGGCCAGGGAGGAAGAGAATAGGAATGGGAACGCGGCTGTTCCCGTGGAACCCAAATTGAATAAGGAGGAGAAGCTCAAGGAGGATCAAACAAAGTCATCCTCGCAGGTCGAGTGAGTTTCTCCAGTGTCATAGTCTATCACAGCACGATGCTAATACAGATTACTTAGGGGCCTGAAGCAATCACTCGTCGAACTCGGCACGTTCTCGACATCGACAGCCCGACGACTCGACGAGACCTACTACGCCGTTCTCGAAAAGATGACTACACTCCAATCCACCGTATCGGTCCTTAAGGAGCTGGCAGAGGAATCCCAGAGTATTCATAACAACTTTGAGAAGGACGCGCGCGAGATTGAAAATGACATCACGGCACAAATTGCAGCGATGGGGCAATTTGAAGAGCATCAGAACAATATCGAATCCCTCCAGGCTCGAATCCAAGATGGTCGTTCCAGGATCCGGGCCTTGAGTGAACGGGTTGATATTGTTCGTGAACGAGTTGAGCGCTGGGAGCGTCTCGATAAGGAGTCCCAAGACAAAACGCGACTGAGACTGAGGGCCATCATGATCTGCATGTCTGTCATCATGCTGACAATGCTTGTTCTATTCTTTGGCGCCCAGTACTTATCGCCAAACGGGGACATTGTGAGCAGTGATAGCTCTGAAACACCCCATATTGCTGAATCCATCGTCGAGTCCCGGAAGGAGGCAGGTCATACAGTACTACCGCCCACCACGCATGAGGGAGATGAAGCATATCTGCGGAGGAGGCATGAGGACGGAGGCGAAATACTGCATGCATTCGACGAACTGTGATGCCATTTGTTCTTGGCATATTTCGAGGCGCTCTTGACAAGCTTGCTTTACTGCTGTACGATTCATGATACCCATATTAGCGCGCAATACTACGTAGCATACAGATTGAGGACTTGGCGCGTATCTCTTGGCTCAAAGATGTCACGGCATTGGTATCAGCCAAGGCCGTTGTTTACAACCATGCAGCCGGATCAGAAGCCATATTTACCGTACAATCCATCAACTAGGCCAGCTGAGCTGTTCAGTGCCGCCACATCTCGGAGCTGCCGTCTGACCAAGTCCCTTTCCCCGCCGCCGAGCCGGTATCCCGGGCGGTCTTCTCCGCGTTGTCTTGTCTTGGGACTGGGACTGGAACCTTTGCCGTAGCCGCTGCCAAGCATCCAAACCCATTTTGGTAAAATCCTCGCGCGCATGGCCTTGGGAGTACGTAACAGTGGGACAAGCCACTTTGGAAACAAGGCCGAGCGGCTACTCTGACAGGAATCAAGCATGTGGCTTGTTTTGTCGGATAGAGGCATTGCTGGGTTGGGGGATGCAGGGTTACCCTACGCTGCATCTATTTGTTTTCGGCAGAGAGCCGAAGCGGAGGGAGACTTGTGGAAATTGATTAATTATTACCTGGGGAGTTTGGCATGTCTGTTTGAAGCGGACTGCATCACCTGTTATTAATGTCTGATGTTTACTTGTTCGTCTCATTTTCTCTACCGGCATCTAGCTTGTTAACGGAATGTAAGGGTCAATGAGTGAGTCCAGCACAACAAACACACAACAATGGGGAATCATCCCATAAATAGAGATCCACAAGCACGGGAAACTACCGGTCATGCTGCGCCAGACCGGTGTCGTGCCGTTTATCCCGAACGTTGGATGTGGATAAGCGGATGGTCACCGTTGACCCAACCCAGGGGATTGGGAATCGCCACTTGTTCCGTCATGTAGATACCCCCGTCGTGAGAAGCAAGTGCTTGCTAGCTGGGAAGTTGGTTCATGTCTCATGTCTCAGCAATCTTGACGGGTGTAACCAAACTGGTGAACCCTGGCTGTTGTGGGATCTAAGACGTCTAGTGCAATTCCACGGATATTGTGCCTGAGGGTTCAAGACAAACCGTTGAATTCCAATTGAAGTGACAGGGTCTTTCTTTTCAATATGTAAAATGTGAACTAGACCTCATCTACTTTGTTCTCCCTATTCACAGTCAGCCTTGATGTGGGTTAGGCCGAGATGAGCAGAGTTTGGGCGCCATTTTGAAGCCACGATTGGCCTGCTCGTAAAACCGTATTGTTGAGAAACAAACAGTCAGAGTAACTCTCAAAGGTCCTTCTCCTAGGCACCGCATGATGAGCGGCGCGTCGGTTGCGAATGGGGCAGAGGCCATCCAGTAATCTCTATTAGCGCGACCCTTGTCAGGAACAGCCACGATGCACAACTCCAAGAGTGGATGCCATCGTGGCTAACATGGCTAAAGTCACCTCACAATCTAGCAGATATTTTGATCTTCGGCCTGTTAAATCCGAGTCAGCAACGGGCAGATATGACAAGTCGTTGCTTGCCAAACATGCCGTCATTTATGCCTCTCAGAATGAAGACCCAGCTCGTAGAAAACATAGCAGAAGCTCAACCGGAGAAAATCTGGAGGAAACACGGACTTTGCCATGCTTGTGGTACGGCAAAAAGATTCCGATAAAACAGGGCTGTGAGAGTCTGGGCGAGTGGCTTGGGACTTGGCGGCACACGTCATGCCCCTCACTTTGGCGCTTTGCACGCGCAAGTGCCCAGCACGAGCTGGTGACCTTGTAAAAGACGCCAAGTGCAAGAATATATAAGAAGAAACAAGGCGTCAATACTTGAAAGAGACTCATATTCCCCTTTCTCTTGATATTGAGCGACATACGTGACCAATAGGGGTGACGCGGCTTTGAACAGGTTGCAGTGCATCAGCAGTAGGAAATACTGACGTAGTTGCTGCCCAGAAGCACAGAGCTCCTCCTTCTGCTCGAGTCAACCAACGGGTACCAAACTTGACCACGACGAGCCTGGAGCTGACAGCAGCCAGCCCCGCCAAACCCAAGTATCGTCCTGGGCTTTCCGCGTACCGACGGATAATCAACTTGACCTACCAGGGCCCATCTTGGCAATATCTCTCTTCTGAAACCCGCCCAGAATCCAGCTTGACCAAGTCATTGGCATCTTCCCCTCCTCCACCGACTCCTCCCCGACGGCGTCATCTCCCCTTCTCAACCTCACGGATCGAGTCCCCAAAGCTTCGGTCGAATACCTTCCTTGTTACGAGCCATGGCTGCTGAGGCCGGAGACAAGCCCGCGGTCGTCGATGGCGCTACCCCCGAGGCGACACCAAATTCCACCGTCGAACTGCCCGTCCGAACGACGAAACGAGATGCTACGCCGCCGCCAGGCCAGTCGCTCACCGGAAAGCAGGAGCACTGTGAGTCGCGACGCGTTCAACATACGGGACAGGCGCTGATACATGATAGACCTAAAGCGAGAGCTCATCTCTGAGCAGGTAAAATGGGAGATTAACGAGCTCAACTCCACGACGGCCCTCCAGCGCTTCGGTGCGCCCTTCCGCTCCGATCATGGAGAGGTCTCACCCCAAGAATCCGAGCTGCCTATTCTGCGATACATCTTTGTTCATCATGTTCGAGACTTTCCCTTCCTAGACAAGGCGCGCGAGAAGGAATTCTGGCAGGACAAGCTCCAGGTGGTGAGTAACCAGTATGCGGCAGCATTGGGATTTAGTGCTGACAACCATTACACAGTTCCTTGAGTCCTTTGCAGGCAAGTCAATCTCATCCTCTGAGGATCGCCTGGAGGAGACGAAACGCCGAAAGCTCGCCACCAAGGCTAGAAAACTTGTTGAGTTGATGATGGTCTCCGGAATCGGAACATCATCTGGTTTCGAAGAGCGCATTCGATTTTCAGAGATTGAGATCGTGGATAGCAATGCCATCGAGACTGGGGTGATGCATACCCTGCCCGAGGGCAACTATATCAACGGCTGGGATGTCAACGTTGCCGGTGTGCGCGTCACTCAGGTCAAGCATACGATTCGAAAGCATAAACACGCCGAGTTCATCTTGAGGGTCAAAAAGAAGGGAGAGTTGGAATACTACGTTGGCCGGAGGTACAGCGACTTTGCAAAGCTTCATAGGCGACTGCGCAATGAGCTCCCTGGTCGAGTACTACCGGATATGCCTAAGAAGAACAAGTCCGACACAACGACCGCCTTGACATCTGTATTCAGCAATGGAAACGACTCAGATGCTTCCTCCATCTCTTCAGTATCAACCCGGGTAACTGGCCTTGCCCCTACTCCCGATGGCTCTTCATCAATGCTTTCACCCGGTAAGGCGATCATTAATCTCTGTGATTCTCATACTGACACACGTCAAGGTCATCGCAGGGCTGGCTCAGCGGCTTCTTTCCGATCAAGCCGCTCAAGGGGACTGAATTCACCCAAGATTCCTTCACCGCGAGCATCTGTCGAAGGAGGAAGACTAAGTCCAGGTGTTGTTCCAAGCCCTGATAAAGAGGTAGGCTTCATCCTGGGATCACTTGATATCATCAACTAATTTGGCATAGACCACTGTCGTTCTCTGGCGTGAGAATCAGCGTATCTCACTTCGGTCCTTCATTCGATCTCTCCTACACAACCCCCAGGTCGCCAATACAAACGCCATACAGGAATTCTTGACTGGTGAACCTATCACCCCGGCAGATGAAGATGTAGAGGACATTATCCGGAGAAAGGCGCTCGACGAAAAGCGTATGGAAGAACAGAAGCAATTCTACGAGATTGCCCGGAAACGAGCTGCTGAGCTTGATGAGTACATGGAACAGTGAGTATTTCCGACTACAGGATGATCCACCGACTAACCCGCTCAGGTTCCGCCGAGACATTGTCGAACGCAATGGACTCACAATGCTCTTCAAGGAGATCAAGGAAAAGGAAACGATCCCGGACCTCAGCATCCAGTATCGAAAGTTTGCCGAGTGGCTTCGTATTGAGATTGCCGCCGTCATCTATCACCTTTTCCTTGCCGAGGACAACTCCCCTGAGCTCTTTGCACAGGCGAAGCGGATTCACTCTCTTATTCCGTACTCACTCATGAAGAATGTGATTCGAATCGCCAACCCAGCTGCCGTCATGTCGGGCGTTCTCGATATCTTCCTGGCTCAGCCCTTTGGCACGCGGTCGTTGATGCAGAGAATCTTCTCTCTGACTCTCAACGACGGTATCAGGAGCTTCCAGAAATCAATCGATATCCTGAGTACTAAGATCAGTGACCCAGTCTTCTCAGACAAGATGTACAAGTACACACACTCGGAAGAGCACATCAAGCTGGCTATCCGTGAGGAGGCCGAGGCGGATGACGTGGACCTGATTGTTGCAATCTTGAGATCAGACCTCATCGAGCCAGGGCTGACAGGAGAGCAAATCCAGAGGCTCTACAATGCCTACGTCGCATTCAACAATGCTGTCGAAAATATTGATGAAGAGTTGCGGCAGGGTGCCGAGCTGTTTTCATACCTGAAGCAGTACCTCAAGCTCTGCACTCGTCAGCGGGACAAGGAAATGATGCTTCAGTTGATCGAAGAGCCTGTGACACTGCAGCTTTTCCGGGATCTCTTTACGATCTTTTACGAACCTCTTGTACGAGTTTACAAGTCGGCAAATGTCTACAACAGTGTCACAGACTTTGCTGTGTTTATCGATGACATGATTCAGGTAAGATGCATAATGAGACGTGAGTCGGAAAACCACAGCTAACTTGTTTCCAGGTTGTCGACAAGTGCAGAGAGCAAGACGCTTCTGCCGACCCCAACCAAACTGTTCAAGCATTCATCGACCTCTGTCAGAGACATGAGCATAATTTTTACAAGTTTGTTCATGAAGTTCATACACACGACAACGGCCTCTTTACCCAGCTCATGGGCTGGATCGAGGGCATCCTTGAGTTCCTTCGAAAGGGTCCAAAGAACGGAACTCTCAACGTCAACGCATTGTTCGAGGGCGGCGTTAGCACGGGACTGCTGGACAAGACCAAGGCAATTGAGGAGATCAATGCACTCATCGCATGGCAAGAAGCACGAAAGAAGTGGCACAACGACAAGACGCGGCAGAAGATGGCGGCAGAGGGACATGCGGGAAGTGACATGATGCCCACTGGAATGGCCTTTAACTCATCAGACTTTGGGCTTGATAGCGATGACCTTGAAGACATGGCATACGACGATGGGTCTGATTCGGAGCTAGAAGCGGAGCAAGAGGATGAGATGGATCCCATCGAAGCTGAGAGACGACGCAGAGCCAAGCGACAGGATCGCTTACGGCGAAGTGCAGGAGAACCAGTAAAACCTCCCGTCGGCGAGGTTCACAAGCTGACGGAGAATTTCCTGGTCATGTTGCGGGACGTTTTGGCGGATTAGCTTTCAAGATATCCATTTTGCTTGTTTTCACGGTTGATCGAGTGTCGACCAGGGTAAGGAGTTGCGTTGATTATTACACCAAGAAGTTTGTTTAAGACGGAGGGATAGAGTATACTGAACAAGATTATAAGCATCATACAATTGGACTCTATCAATGAGACTGATCGGACGTGAGGATGATCTGTGAGAGCCGGACTTTGAAGACCGGCGGGTTCTCCTAGCTTCTCGGCTTTGTATCCGGGCCGGTCGTGATAGTGGATCCGACAGCACATGCCGAGCCACAGGAGCGCCGGGAACGGCGGGGGGGAGGAGCCGAAGGGAAAATGCTTCCGGCTCGGCACGTGATGAGCTGGAAGTTCTCGTCGTCATGGATTCTCAACAGCGAATTCTCCCGAACCCTGGGGCGAGGAAGCGAGGTTGGAGGCAAAGAATGGTAGAGGAGAGCCCGATTTATAGAAATAACAATGACTGACAGCCAATTGGCAGCTTGAACTGCACCTCGGTCCAGGATTCGACTTTCACTTGCAGCAGCGTCAAGACGTCCGGGGAATTTGTCGCTGTAACTGCAGCGACTACAGTGGCTGACTGACCTGTGACCTGTGGGCGAGTGGCCTGTGTGCTGATAATAAGCCAACGCTGATTGGCCGGATCAACCGAGGAGCCGAGAGAATCCGTCCCGGTAGAGCCTCGCGGCGTGCGCCCAAAAAACGTCAAGGGAAATGTCGATTGGCTAAACATCATCCCTCCCAAAAGTTCAAACCTGCCTTTGCTCGCTCGTCCGCCACCCGAGCCCTTCGATAACCCCATTCGATTCTCTCGCGGATGCAGCTTGGTGATACCGACTTGGATTGATCATGGCTTCTTCTATGGCAATGAGGAGATTGGCCGCTGGCCCTGCTGTGAGTAGCTGCCCACGAACCACCCCGGTTCGTCCTGCGCCTGTCGTGATGGCTTCATCATGGTAGCGGTTTGTCCGTTACTTGTCGCGAGGAGCTCTCCGGGGCCTCATTGTGCTTTACTGACCATTGAGAATAGTTCTCGCGGGCCGCTAGGTTCCCTTCCAGAGCTTTCTCTACTACCCGACCAGTTGGTATGACATCTTGACCGAATCTCCCTGATTGCCGCCACATGCTGACCTCGATCTTCTACAGCCCGAGTCATCGCCAATGGTCCTCTCCGTGCTAAGGAGGCCTCTCCTTTCGTGAGCACCAAGTACGCCGTCATCGTATGTCCCCCTCCCGCCTGCCCGCGCGGCCAGGAATCGTTAGAATCACGCCAATTGACACTTTACCCCAGGACCACGAGTACGATGCCCTCGTCGTTGGTGCCGGTGGTGCCGGTCTGCGAGCCGCCTTCGGTCTTGCTGAGGCCGGTTTCAACACTGCCTGTATCTCCAAGCTGTTCCCGACCCGAAGTCACACTGTTGCTGCTCAAGGTGGTATCAACGCCGCCCTCGGTAACATGCACGAGGACGACTGGCGATGGCACATGTACGATACCGTCAAGGGTTCAGATTGGCTGGGTGACCAGGACGCTATTCACTACATGACCCGCGAGGCTCCCGCTTCCATTATCGAGCTTGAGAACTACGGCTGCCCTTTCTCGCGAACCGAGGAAGGCAAGATGTGAGAATGCCTTGAAAACTGTCTGTATTCGGCTGCTAACGCCTCACAGCTACCAGCGAGCTTTCGGTGGTCAGTCCAAGGAGTTCGGCAAGGGTGGCCAGGCCTACCGATGCTGTGCTGCCGCTGACCGAACCGGCCACGCCCTCCTTCACACCCTCTACGGCCAGTCCCTCCGCCACAAGACCAACTACTTCATCGAGTACTTCGCCCTCGACCTGATCATGCAGGACGGTGAGTGCCGCGGTGTCCTCGCCTACAACCAGGAGGACGGCACCCTGCACCGATTCCTTGCCAACCACACTGTCCTCGCCACTGGTGGTTACGGCCGAGCCTACTTCAGCTGCACTTCCGCCCACACTTGCACTGGTGACGGTATGGCCATGGTCGCCCGTGCCGGTCTCCCCAACCAGGATCTCGAGTTCGTCCAGTTCCACCCCACTGGTATCTATGGTGCTGGCTGCCTGATCACCGAGGGTGCTCGTGGTGAGGGTGGTTTCCTCCTCAACTCCGAGGGTGAGCGATTCATGGAGCGATATGCTCCTACTGCCCGCGATCTTGCTTCTCGTGACGTCGTCTCCCGATCCATGACCATGGAGATCCGCGACGGCCGTGGTGTCGGTGCTGAGAAGGACCACATCTTCCTCCAGCTGAGCCATCTGCCCGCCGAGATTCTTGCTGAGCGTCTGCCCGGTATCTCTGAGACTGCCGGTATTTTCGCTGGTGTCGATGTCCGCAAGCAGCCCATTCCCGTTCTTCCCACCGTCCACTACAACATGGGTGGTATCCCTACCCGATACACCGGTGAGGTCCTCACCGTCGATGAGCAGGGCGAGGACAAGGTTGTCCCTGGCCTGTACGCTTGCGGTGAGGCTGCTTGCGTGTCTGTCCACGGTGCTAACCGTCTGGGTGCCAACTCCCTGCTGGATCTTGTCGTCTTTGGCCGTGCCGTTTCCCACACCATCCGTGACAAGTTCAACCCCGGCGATGCCCTGAAGCCCACTGCTGCTGATGCTGGTGCCGATCACATCGAGGTCCTCGACAAGGTCCGAACCGCCGACGGCTCCAAGAGCACCGCTGAGATCCGTCTTGCTATGCAGAAGGCCATGCAGACTGAGGTCAGCGTGTTCCGAACCCAGGAGAGCTTGGACGAGGGTGTCCGCAAGATGAAGGAGATTGATGCCCTGTACGCCGATGTTGGCATGAAGGACCGCAGCATGATCTGGAACTCTGATCTCGTCGAGACTCTCGAGCTCCGAAACCTCCTGACTTGCGCGTAAGTTACCATGATATACCTTTCAGTAGTGATTTGCTAACACAGTGTCATAGCATGCAAACCGCCACCTCTGCCGCCAACCGAAAGGAGTCTCGCGGTGCTCACGCCCGCGAGGATTACCCCGACCGAGACGACAAGAACTGGATGAAGCACACCCTCTCCTTCCAGAGGGAGCCCCACGGCGAGGTCGAGCTCAAGTACCGCAAGGTCATCTCCACCACCCTGGACGAGGCCGAGTGCAAGCCCGTGCCGCCCTTCAAGCGTGTATACTAAGTGGGGTGCGGTCTGGGACGTCGAGGAGTTATTTAGATTGTTGGGAAACTTGACATGATTCTACGCAAGGCAGCGTCTCCTTTGTGGCAAGATGTGCAATATATATCCGTTAGGGGAATGGCATCAAGAAGGGAAGAGAAAGCGAGAGGTTGGTCCCCGGGGGTCACGACGGAGACCCTTGAAGAGGTGGGGGCGTGTATTTGTCGGTTTTTTGTAGCCCAGGTTAAAAGAATTGAAAAAGAACAGTTTTTTTGTCCTACGTTTGGTTTCTATCAACTGGTGTTGGTGAAGAGGGAGTTGGATATGCTCGACGGTCTGAGACAGAGTCTCCTTGGAGACTGTGACGATGTTGTTCTTGTTGACAATCCTGTCTCTCGCTATGAAGGGTGAGGAGGAGTAAGGGCATCGGTGCAAGGTGGCACTGCGTAAACAGACATGGGTAAGATCTGGTCCCAAGGTACAGCCGTTATCATGTCTGAATTCAGAATATGCTAACACCAGCAACGGTGTAACTGCCACAACGGTCTCCATGCATGGTAATTTTAAATACAATACCAGCTGGAATGCCAGAAACAGCTACTTGAAGACAAACTGCACACAATATTTTGGGTTTCCCTCTCTTTCATATGAAGTTCGACTTTGTGCCTGAACTTGGAAATCCGTAATTGCCAGTCTCCCACAAGTTACCCTATGCTTTTACTGATATCATGCGTAGCCGACATTCTTCAACGATAGGTACCTAAGTTGATAAAAATAGAACAACTGCTTCCTGCCATATCAAAGATTTATTTATAAACCACCGAGCCAACGGAAGGCATTGATGAGTCTTAGGTAGGAAGACGTTACAGCACATGCCTTGCAAGGCGCGTATCGTGGTTGTGGCTGAGTCAATCTGGACCCACCCAGGTTATCGGGTGGGGCACCCCGCACTGCCCGATCTCCCGCGCTCTCGAGACAATGGTGATTCTGGGCGCAGAGCATGATACAATCGAAGACTTCATAGAGCTTGAAGCAAGCATTCAGAGGGGTAGATAAAATAGAACTCTGGCTGTTCCGGACCATGTAGAGTACGGAAGGATGCCACCTCCCACCGCATCGGGGGAAAAAAAGAAATGGCACCTGGCCGTCAGAGCTTGACCCTCCTATTTTGATCTAGTGATTTCTCAACCAACAGATGACTCCAAGGAGATTAAGCGGTGTTTTTACATAGAAGAGAGCTTTGGCCATCTATTGGTATTATTCTTAAAATTTATTTCCATGTCTTGCTTTTCTGTGTCGTTACTGTAAAGTGAGTACTGCTCTACAGATACGATGAGGTGCTCTAAGCTGCCCACAAAGGTCTGCAGCCAGAGACTAACGCACGGGCCTGGGGCCTGTGCCCTATGGGCTTCCTTTCCAGTGGCGGTTATCACCGAAGAAAGCAGTTTGGCGCAGCGGAAGCGCGGTATGTTCCCTCAACTCCACAACTCACCATCACACTCACTGATTCATTCAATAGCCGGGCTCATAACCCGGAGGTCTCAGGATCGAAACCTGAAACTGCTACGGTTCTTTTTTGCCGTTCGTGATGTCTTTTTTGGTGTTTTTATCATGTCTTTTCGTTGTTTTCCCATCCACTATGACCTGGATACCTTTTTGCGTATTTGGGGCCGGATTGCGACCTCTGCGACGGCTCCCTTGCCCAAAAGACTATCAGGAAAGGTCGTAGATTGTTTCTTATGCCGTTGGTAAAAAAAGAAACTGCCATTTTTGACCAACCCTCCGGCTAGAGGCTCTGTAACGGCACTCTTCCTTTCGCAACTTCAACTGTAAGATAGGACCTCATATTCATAATTGAAGGAGTCCTCTTCCTGCTCAGATTAGCTTCCTGGGCTCGGGCGTTGTCAGGTGCAAGCCATATTGCTCTGTGAGTGTCAATAGGGCGGTAACGCGACCGCAGCCAACTTCGCCTGGGCCCCCGTCCTACTTCAAACCTTCGGTGACTGCCTTGGGTCCTCCTTTCCGACGTAAGATTGGAATCAACGCTGTGCCTAGTAGCATTCGAATCCTTTTCCTTTTCTTTTCTGACTACGGTTTGTTTGGAGCACAAACACTTCTGTGTGTATGCCGCTCTTTTGTTTTCAGCCACGATGGGGCGACCACACCTGTGGCTGGCACTGTTAACTATTGATAGTACCTGTGCCAGTTCAATCCTTACTCCAATTGAGAAAGTCCATATTACAATCTAATGACCATGATGTCTGTCCAGTGTGATGTCTACCCAAATGCCCAAAACAGCACCTGGAGGTGCACGTGACAAGTCAAAATTAGCGATCGGGCAGGGCTTAGGGCGAGCCGTTGGAGATTTGTGGGGCCATCCACGAGCCAGAGCCGCCAGTGCCACGTGACATCCACAACTGTCAATTTCAAGGGGTTGATGTCGAGTCCTGTGCAGTTATCCTTCTGCGTCTATGCCGAGTCTCTTTGGCTGCTTGTTAGATATAATTGATTGTGATGTATTGAATGTGCGTATGATTTAAGCTCTTCGCCCACGCATACTTGCATGGGATCTATATAATGAGTTCCTTAAAATCTTTGAACTCGCACTACCGGTTTTTGAGTCTTGTCCAAAGTCCTACTCAAATCATTTCTCAGGCTTCTCTTTGGAGGGGCTCTCAAAATCTTCTTCGGAGAATTTACTGGGTGGTGTTGTGGGCGCTCTCTCAGGGGCGTCCACAGCAGCGTCCTTCACAACGGCTCGAACAGCACTTTCAACTGAGAACCAGGCACGAATTGGCTGGCTGAGCTCTAGCTTTTGATTGGCCAGCTGCTAAAAATATGTCCCACCTACGGTTAGGAGAAAAACGGCACCGGAACTTGACCCAGGATCATCAACACTTTGGAATCGCCTCAAATGATAAAAAGAAAAGCCCTGAGATGCTCAGAAATGGCAAAAAAAGAATGGTAGCAGCTGCTGGTCTCGATCCAGCGACCTCCGGGTTATGAGCCCGGCTATTGAATGAATCAGTACTGAGTTGTGGTGTTGTGGAGTTGAGGGAACATACCGCGCTTCCGCTGCGCCAAGCTGCTTGTTTTTGGGTGGAGGAGCGCTTTCTTTTTCTCGTACTTGGATGCGGGGTCTTTCCAGAGCTCGCTTGGGTCGAATCCGGTCCCATTAACTTCATATCACAACGCTGAGGCTCAAGTTATCCCACCACCTGTCACGCAGTGATAGAGCCCCTCTGAAACTGCACAGTAGGCAACTATCATGTCATGATATCCATAGTGGGACTACAATTAAATACTAAAACGGATGTAATGAGACACTGAATTCTACAGAAAATGAGCAAGCCTATTCTGTGGTCTCCTCCTGACGGTGAGGAGGCGATGGACGAAATATTGTACCAGTATTGAAACAACCCTTAGGCCCTTATCTTTTTTCAAGGCTTCCTTGAGAAGACTCAGAAGTGTGAATATTATGAATAAAGAATCGGGGGGCATGCAATACAAACACTTCTCTGCCCTAACAAACACCCACCGTAGACGAGCACCAACGTCACCAGCACATTTTTTCTCCCACGACCCCTCTCGATTTTTGGGTGCGCAAATGGGAGAACCTCCTCTTTTTCGTCGCTCTGAATCTTGGTCTTTCCTCCCTCCACATCACTCCCTCTCGTCACAGCATTCCTCCAAGCCAACACACGGCGGCACTGCCACACGACAAGATGGCCTCGGGAGGTGATGAAGCCCCGATCCTGATCATCGGGATCGATTTCGGCACAACGTAAGAACATTCACCTTCACCTGCGCTTCGCGCTTGCTGATCTGCCTTAGCTACTCGGGAGTCGCCTACTCGCGCCGCAAGAACCCCCCCAAGCTCATCACCAACTGGAAGAACCTGCGCCACTTCAACCAAGACAAGGAAAAGGTCCCGTCGGCAGTCTTCTACGACTTAATGACTGAGGGTGACTTTTCCTGGGGTTATGAGGTGCCAATCGGAGAAGACGTGCTGCGATGGTTCAAGCTCTTGCTTGTCGATGAGAACGACCCGCCTTTCAAGATCCGCACTTCCCCTCACGTCATGACCGCCCGCGCCCTGATCAGGCAGCTCAAGAAGACCCCAGTAGAAGTCATCGGAGACTATCTGGGCGCGTTGTGGAAGCACAGCCGCGAGAACATCATGAGAGCTGTGGGCCAGCGTGTGTTCAAGATCGCCCGCCTCCACTTCGTCGTGACCTTGCCCGCCATCTGGCCGCATTATGCTCGAACTCGCATGGAAGAAGCACTAATGCGAGCTGGAATTCGAGAGCCTCGGCCTGCGGGTGAGACCATTGTTGACTTCATCTCTGAGCCTGAGGCGGCGGCCCTGGCGTGCCTCGAGGGTAGCTCCGATGCGATCGACCTAAAGGTATGACTCCTCCTTCCATTCCATTCGAGATCAAAGCTTACTGTTGATAGCCGGGTCAACATCTGATTGTCTGTGATGCCGGCGGTGGCACTGTCGTGAGTCCAGCCCCTTTTCTAAGACGGCATATCTGACGCAGCTCGCTTAGGACATCATCACTTACAAGATCATCAAGATGGACCCTTTGACAGTCCAAGAGAGTGCCAGGGGCGATGGTAAGCCCCCCAGTACTGGAGTGTTAGAGATACACTAACGTTTATTGTTAGGTGACCTCTGCGGCGCCATGTTCCTTGATGAGAGCTTCGCGCTTCTCCTCAAGGAGAAGATCCCGGCCGATATTCAGGCCAAGATGGGGGATAGTGGGCTCCGGAAGTTCATGCATGATGAATGGGAGCACGGCATCAAGACCTCCGTCGATAAGGACAGTACGAACTAGGACATCGTTCTGCCTCACGGAGGGGTGGTCAACGGCAAATATCACCCTCCGAGGATCACTATCGAGGCGTGAGTTTTAACCCCCTTTGACATAGCTCTTAGCTGATATGATCAAGCTCCACCGTTCGTGATAAGGTGTACCGCCCACAGATCACCAGGATCGAGAAGCTCGTCGAGGAACAGATCAAGCAAGTCAAAGAAAAGTTTCGCCGCAAGCCCAAGGTACTTAGAGCACCTCTTACTTTTATTCACTCTCTGACTGTTGCTTCAGTATCTTATGCTTGTGGGTGGCTTTGGGAAGTCCAAGTTCTTGTACGAGTGTCTCCAAGAGAAACTCGGGAAGAAGATCGAGATTCTGCAGGACAGTAACAGCGATCCGTGGACCGCTGTCGTTCGCGGTGCCGTTTACCATGGGCTTGTCCGCAGCAACATGACCGATAACATCAACGTCTCCATTGAGTCACGCATCTCTCGCTACAGCTACGGAACCTTGGTCAATGCGATGCCCTTTGATGCAACAATGCATGAGCAAGAAGATCGGTTCTACTGCTCTGCGAACCAAGCTTGGTTGGCTGCTAACCAGACCATGTGGTTTGTTGACATTGTTCGTATAGCCCTCTCACTCTGGTAGCATACCTCGAAGTATTGAATTGCGACTGACACTTGCGCTTTGTAGAACGAAACCGTCTCAGCTCACAAGCCGCACAAGTTCACGTGCTGGCAGGAGTTGAGCAGCCCAGACGATGAAGTCACCGTTGACATTGTCTTCTCCGACGCAGAGACGCCCCCCAAGCGCCAGGATGGAACTGTCAAACCACTATGCGAGATCAAAGTTCCCCATATCCCCAACTGGGACAAGCTTCCTCTCTGGAAGAACTCAAACGGAGAGGAGTTCCGACACTTTGGGTATGAGCTGTGCATGGTCAGTGATGGCACGTCCCTCGACTTCTCTGTCTATCACAACAAGCGCAAGATCGCCGCCCAGAGCGCGAGTTTTGAGTCGAGCGGCTGTGCCTCTGCTGGTGCTGCTTCTGCCGGTGGGAGTGCATCGAGGCCTCCAAGAGCGTCGAACCGGCAGATGGGCCGTCGACCCGACCCCGACTACAACGAGGAGAGTGGGAGTGAGGAAGAAGATGGTGACTTCGAGATGGAGGATTGAAGGAATCATGACGTAGTTGGCGAAGCCCATGTTCTTGACTTTGATTCCACACAGAGATAGCCCCCGTAGCTTACAGAAATACAACCGGAAGCAGAAACTCTTGGCCCGAAAGAGAATAGCATCTGGCAAGGAACCCGACCTAAGTAGCCGGGCAATTTCATTTACTACGAGAGGCTGTATTTTATTGACCGAAACGTAATCAATGCCTTTTAGGAAGAGCATCTCTATCTAGGTAGCTCCCTATGGGTCCATCTACCTAGACAAGCGACGGAGAAACATGTCCAAGACAGCTAAAAGCAAACCAGCCCAAGTCGCTCAATCATACGTAACCTCTTCCAACCCGATCTCATACTGCTTGCCTTGGGCCACCAACTCGATGATTGAGTTGACTGTGGTCAGGTTCTGGACGGCATAGACCGTCGATTCGAAAGCATCGAACAAGTAGAGTTATCGTTATCCTTTTGATCTATTGGGTATGGCGTCCATGTGAGCCATGAGTTACTCCTCCACTCAAGGTCGAGAGGGATAAGTTTAAAGGGCTGGAAGATCTAAAGGGTGGACAATGACTATTGTAATAAATTGGCCTACCAGCCCTCTTTAACCCCTCTGGACATGCTAGTTAAATGTGTCAAGCTCTGGATCTATTCACAAAACATGGTTCAGCTAGATTGTCAATATCTAACCAAACAAGCGATCAGCTTGCATTGGCTAGGCCTGGGAACATTACTGGAGCCCAGGACAAATCGCCAATGCGTCGCTAATCATCCACCTTTGGTCTTCAACAGGGAGACTTTGCCCTTTGTAGTTAGGCGAATGGCATGGCTAAAGTCCAATTGAGCATGCCATTGGATCCGAAACGGTTGGGTTCGTGTCCTGAGACTAAATGAGGGCGGTTAAGACAGTAAGCCATCATGATTGCTGGTTTTCGATTGAAGGGTCGAGAAGTGGAAAAGAGAGATTCTGCATGGGGCCATGTGTCTTACGACCAACGGCGTGTCTGAAGAGCTGGTTAGACCGTCCGATGGTCCGAACCCGGGGCGGCTATTCTTGTCAATTGGATTGACACCTTGTCAAAGCCCATGACGAAACGGCCGGAACTGTCCATGACAACCCGCGCGCGGTCATCATGGTAAAAGCCAAAGCCACACGATGGGGGGCGCGGTCCAGGGGTGGTTAGCTGACAGGGACGAATGGGAGGCTTACGGCGGGTGGTTTCGGCGGCGATTGCAGATGGCATCGTGGGTTGGCGTCTGCCATTGGCGGTGAGCTAGAGGCCAGAGGTGACGGGTGATGCAGCGAGATGCAGGCAAAGCGGGACGGTTACAGACGATGCCATGGCGACAGAGCGGAGAGGATTGTTTGCATGTAAACAACATGGAGCTTGCAGATGCGCATCATGACAACGCAGTAGCAGTGCAGGAGAGGGTCTGGCCATGGTTAATAAAGGGAGGGGCTCGTCTTGTCAGATGGTTTGGTTTGGCTGGGCTTGTACATTTCTGCTGCAACCACGACTCTAAGTAGGTACTCAGGCTGACAGCAAAGGCGTTGTCTAGACTGCATCCATCAATCAACTCTCATCCTTTCCCGTCTCTCTTGGTCTCTCTTTCAAGCTGCATCTGGTCTCTTCTTTTCTTTGTCCATCTCATCATCTGATCCCGCCTCGCAGCGTTATCCCAGGCATCGCAGCATCGTCATTTCAGGTTTCTAGCAGACCCTGGCTCTACTTCCCCGGGTTCTCTTCAAACCTCTATCGGTCCCCTGAAGCCGCTCATCCAAGACACCCCCTGCATCGTCTCGTGGAGAAGAAAGGGACCGGCCGTGCAGAGGCGGTGGAAGCCAAACCAACCTGATCAAGGTACTAAAACAGGAGGAGGATCCCCGACGCCGTCGGGAAGAAGGGAAAAGGTGACGCCTTTGCCGGGACAAACGACCAAGAAGGAGAAAGTGAGAAAAGGGCGCTGGCTGCCCCTTGTTTGCGGTTGGTCTCTTTTGGCTTTTCTCTCTCTCTCTTTTTGAGGAACAAACTCCATCCATTCTCTCTTTCCGCTTTTTGGCTTTAGCCACGTTCGCTCTTGTCATTTCTCCCCGTCTGATCGGCATCTGCATCACCACTGCAATTCATCCGCCGTCGCATCAACAGCTGCAACGACAACAACAATCAATAGCTTCGCCTCTCCACTTGGTCCGTCAGCCGACCTCTACTTCTCCCTTCTTTCTCTCTCGTGCATATTATCTATCCCACTTGGATCAATACTACTTGATCCCCTCTGCCCTCTTCTCTTCACCTTCTTTCTTCTTCTCCCTCTCCCGTCATCTCGCTGCTTCCCCACCATCTCGCCATTCTTGCCTCTTCTCTCCACCCACTGCGTCACGACCATTCACGTCGCCAGGAACAAGCTGTCAATTTCATTTCTGGCCCGGATATCCGCTAGCCTCATTCGCTCATCCATCACCATCAAACAGCCTTTGAGTCACTCGTCTCGTCGGGTGCCAATAAGGCCGTGCTCGAGTTGCTAAATCGACGGGACGGGAGCTAATCACAGCCAGCATCAGTGCTCTGACCCGTCACTCAGGGCCCTTCGCCAGCGCACCAATCTACGCCATAGCGCCCACACAGCGCCAGGCACCGCCGAGGCCACTCCTTGGTTGCTCCCACGACACAAGGTTGCCCCCCTATTTTCCGCATCCGGCGTGGGGTGTAAACAAATCCAGACACGCCCTCCGCAAATCAATCAATCTCCAGCGAAATAAGGGCCCCCAGCCGGGCCTGCCTCGCCTCGCCTGTGCCCAAGATGCCTTCTGCCACTTCAACAACAACATCCGCCGCTCCTCCTAGATCACACACACCACAGTTGAGACCCAAGTCATCGTCGCGAGGCCTCAGGAGACCAAATAGCGCCGTCTCGACCCCGAATCTCAAGTCCGCATACGCTTCTCATTCGCGTCTCGCTCCGCCGCTGCCTCGCAAGTCCTCGCTCGCACAGCTCAACGCAGGCTCTCTTGCCAGCATCCCCGATGTCACTGAGAGTTACGCCGTCGATTCCGTCCTGAGCGACTCATCCCAGAATATGATTCCTACAACACCAGGCCGTTCCCAGGCTGCCAATGTCTCTCTCGGCGACACGGTCGATGTTCCTGGTGGCTTGCAGGGTACCGTTCGTTTTGTTGGTCCTGTTCAGGGTAAAAGGGGCGTCTTTGCCGGCGTCGAACTGCTTCCAGACTTTGCCAGTCGAGGGAAGAACGATGGCGATGTCGATGGGTAAGATGACATAGTGACATTTGTTTTCTTTCTGGACTTGCGACTGATCATGACAGGATCTCATACTTCACCACCACCATCCCCGGTGCTGGCATCTTCCTCCCTGTGGCCAAAGCCGTACGCCGCGAGTCGATTCCATCCTTCCCCATGACTCCGAGCACCAGCAACTACGGTGGCCTGAGAGCTGGAAACCAGAATTCTGTCAACTACACTCCTCCGACCCCCGGCCTGCCCAAGTTTAGCGCTTCAGTCGGTCCCGGTGCACGAGCTCCCAGTCCCCAGCTGAAGCGAGCGCCAAGGAACTCTCTACCTCGTCCCGAGTCCCCTGTCCGCCGAATGCAGATGACGCCTGGACCGCGACCATCTATGACCACCCCGGCCAAGACGCCATCAAGATATGGTAGCCCGACAAACACGCGCTTCGCTCAGAGTGTGCGCGGCACCTCTGGAGACCCGAGCAAGAGGACATCCAAGTCGGATCGCAAGCCTAGTGTCGGGCCCCGGAGCGTTTCTGCCCTGGGTTCCATCTCTGGGCTTGATGATGATCCTACCCCCATGGGAGTCAAGCGGACGGGGACCAATGGCAGCATGGGATCCGTCTCATCATTCAGCATGAAGATTCGTCCTGCATCTCGCGCCAATAACGCGAATGAAGAGGAGATTGAGCGCCTAAGATCTCAGCTTGAGGACCGGGATCGACAGCTCAAGGAACAGTCTTCTACTCTGGCTGACATGGAGGGTAGCTTGGTCGAACTGCAGGGGCTTATGGAGCAGGCAGAAGTATCACTGGCACCTCAGCGGAATAGCTGGGATAACAAGGACACGGCGCAGCTTCGCCAGTTGCTGCGGGAGAAGAACGACAAGATCGCAATGCTCACGGCAGAGTTCGACGCCCATCGAGCAGATTTCCGGAGTACCATCGACACCCTGGAGTTGGCCAGTACCGAGACGGAACGCGTGTACGAAAAGAGGATAGAGGAGTTGATGGGCGAGCTTCGCGAACTCGAGTCAAGGAACCTGGATGTCGACTCAGTAGCCACGCAACTCAAGCAGCTGGAAGAACTTGTCCAAGAACTCGAGGAAGGTTTGGAGGACGCTCGTCGCGGAGAGGCAGAGGCTCGAGGTGAAGTCGAGTTCCTCCGGGGAGAGGTTGAAAGAACAAGAACGGAACTTCGACGTGAGCGTGAAAAGGCTACGACACCCAACAATGCCAGCGCGAACGGCGACACGGTATCCTCCAAGGAGCTTGAGCAGAAAGATGACGAGATCAGGGGTCTCAAGGCTATCATCCACTCTCTCAGCCGAGACTCGGTCCCCGGAGAAGACAGGACACCTGTTCCAAGACCCGGCTCGATGATTGCAGGAGACGCCGTCGAGAACAAGATTGCGCGCGATAACCTCGAGCGACAAGTAGCTGAGCTACAGTCGATCCTCGACAAGAAGAGCAGCCGGGAGGACGAGCTCGAGAAGGAGCTCGAGTCGTTCCGACAGGCAGCCGGAGCCACCAAGGCTGCCAACAGATCCTCGCTGAGGGATTCTCGCGACACGGTTGTCCTGACCCAGGCCATGGAGAACCGCCCAGTCGAGCCTACTCACAAGCGGGCTAGCACCCTCGACACGATGCCCGAGAGCGATGTCTACTCCAACGCCACCGAGACTAGCACCCTCTGGTGCGAGATTTGCGAGACTAACGGCCACGACATCCTGACATGCACCAACATGTTCGGCCCTGACGGCGCCA